TCTGAAAAAGCTTCTGGGGGGGGGGTGAGGAAGGGAAACAAAAGTCTAACTTCTTTGTAGTCTGGCTCAGTCAATGGCTATAGCATCAGGCTCATGGGAGCGAAGGGGAGCTCTTTTCCCCATCAATTCTTTCCCATCAGTCTGGTCAAAATGTACCAGCATAGCCACAGTCAAAGGAAACGGACTGTACTGTGAGGGCCAATTCTGCATTGGCTATGGGGACTAGGTGACCATTCCGCCCCCCGGATGACTTTGCATCTCTGATATTTATGATCCTATGATGAATGGAAAGGGATGGGAAAAGTCTGAAAAAGGAAGCAAGCAGCATGCTCTACCAGATCCAAAGAGCTGACCCTATTCCTGGTCTCTACCACCAGTTTTCTGGTGTCAGTTGCTGAGCAGAAGTGTTGGCTTATTAGAGATGCTGCTGCCTTTAAAGTCATATTGCTTATTCTTCCTGTTGGATGATGATCAAAAAAGACTTAGGAAAGGAATTGATCCATATAAATGTTCTAGAGCCACATCGTGTATTGTGGAAACTCCCTCTCTGTCCCCCCCTTGCCCAGAGAGCAAAGACGCTAGGCCAGGAATGTGAGTCAGACATGGGCTAAGAATCATGTGTTTCCGTCTCGAGTTGCCCAATGCACAGAACTGAAGAAATGCATGTCCAAAGGCAGAGTTTGGGGGAGAGAGGAAAGTTTTGAGCTGAGAAATGAGCAGAACAACCAATAACACTTTGCAGGATACATGGAATTTCACCCATGACGTCTATGTGGCATTCAGAGCTGAAGAGCCAGATGGCCGAATGGTAATAGAACTGTGCATATGTAAAAATCTATGTGTTTGTCAGTGTCCATGTACTTGTATATTGGCAGGCAGGCACACATATGTAAGCATGCATGCAAGTTTCTCCTTTCAGGGCCTGCAAAGGTGGGGGAATCTGTGTGGTGGGAAAATAATCCACACCAGGTGTTACTGCTATTATGACCTATGATGAATGGAAAGGGATGGGAAATTCTGTGTGAATTTCTTCCCAGCTCAGTGCTTAGATCGCCAGTAAAAAGGCTACTCTCTGATGGTTGGCAGAGCAGGGACTGTCTCTTGGTTGTATGTTTGTACAGTGCCTAGCACCATAGGATTCTGGTCCATGATCGAGGGATACTATCTTATACAGCTAGTAAATAATAGGAAGCCCTGTCCCTTTCCTTTTAGAAAATAAATGAGAAAACTAATCTTCAGCGTCAGTGCTTTTTTGATAGATCATTTCACCTCCCCTCCATCTTCCTGCCCTCTGATTCTCCTGTGCTGCTATGGGGCTGGTCTGGTGCATTTGCTTCTTTATGCTCTGGCCAGCTACCTTTGCTGCTCTACAACTGCAGGGGGACCTTATCGACTCCATTGTCTCAGGACCCACTGTGAGCATTTGAATGGAGTTTCAGTCCGATCAGTTTTCCAGGGGTCACTTACCTAAATTCTGACCTCCTTTTGTGTCCGTGCAGCCACTTGCACACGTGTTTTGGGAGGACGAGAGCAGGCAAATCCCACATGTCCATATTCATCTGGTGCAAATGGGTGTTACAAATGCAAATTCTGCGGCTTGTGTGCCTGAGAGCTGATGCACAATGAAAAGGCTCATGTCGGCGATGGCGTGCGAAAGCAGAGACCAGGCTGTGACCATTCTCTTTC